AGGAGACAGAGGGCCACACAGCAGAGCAACCTGGAGCCCATGGTAAGTCAGCCAGGCCAGGCCCAGCCCAGCTCAGGATTCCAATCTGCAGAGTTAGAGCAGCTGCAGCCTCCACAGCTCTGCCAGGGGCCTTGCTGGTGACATCACAGCTGTGACACTTTTCCTGTTCTCAAGATCTCCATGAACTCAGTCTCCTCCTGTTCCTGTCTTGAGCTTGCTCCTGTCCCAGGTGAGTATGGAACTTCTGGAGGAGGTGTAGTGGGCTGGGCCTGCTGCCTCCAGGCTGGTCTGACAGCCATTCCTGCACCAGCAGCTCCCTCCCTCCCTCAGAGCCCCAGGAGGAGCCCCCTCTGCCCCTCCCCTCCTTTTCAGGACAGTGTGAGAATGAGGCTGGTTTCCTTGCTCTGGACCCTTCCTTTGCCTTTCCAGTAATGCTGGAGGACCCCACTCGCGTCATGGCTCCCTTCAATGTCTGCTGATGCTCAGTGGCCCCTGGACCACTTTAGGTGTGGGCAGGAGATTGCCCTGAGTTCACACCCAAACACCAGCTGCAGCCATTTATGTTGTGTGCATGTGATGACTGTCTCTGTTGTTGTGACTTGAGGGGACTAAGCTGCAACCCTGCTGCCTGCAATGTTCTCTTTAGAGAGGCAGAGCTGAGTGGTTCTCTGCTTTAAGAGAAGACATCCAACTGCAAATTATGGACATTGGTCATGATTTTGCTGTCCAATATTTAAACCTTTTTCTACATCTGTGCTGAAGTTTCCGTCTCTGGGGGATAGGCATGTGCCAACTCTTCATTCTAGAAATGGAATGGAAGAGGTGCATGACTGCCTCTGCTCTGGTGAGTTCCAGGAGACCACAGCTTCACCTAGCAAGCGGTTTTCTTCCATTGGCTCCCTCGGAACTCAGGAGGCTGCTGTGCTGTGTGGACTGGCAGAACAGGTGGAGGGAGGATCTCGCCTTCCCAGTCACATCAAGTGTGGTCACCTTGGTACAGAATCCTAGGAAGAGCCTGGCGTCACCAGATTCTGTCTCTCCTCACTGGGGCTCAAAGTGAGCTTCTAGGTCTGCAGGGGGCCAAAGGCCAGGCATCCTGTCCATTCTGCCCTGATGTCTGCT